CGTCATCATCATCAGCAACATCATTATCATCAGCATAAGCCGCAGCATCATCATTGTCATCAGCATCATCATCCGCATCGTCATTATCATCGTCGTCATCATCATCAGCATCATCAATATCATCATCACCCAGTAGATGCATCTCCATCATCATCATCAAGCGCATGATCATCATCAGCAGAATAATCAGCATCAACATCAGCATCCGCATCAGCACCATCAGCACTATAATCAGCATCAGCATCACCATCATCATGTGCATCATCGTCATCACCATTCTCAGCCTCATCAGTATCATCATCATTAGCATCATCGGCATCAGCATCGCCATCGTCATCATCATCAACAGCATCAGCATCACCATCGCGATCACCATCATCAGCATCGTCAGCATCATATTCATCATCATCAGGAGCAGCATCAGCAGCTCCATCATCATCGCCAGCACCATCATCATCAGCAGCATCCTCATCATTATCCGAATCATCAAATTCGTCGGCATCACCATCATCATCGCCATCATCCCCCAGCGACGCCTCCCCATCGAGCACCGCCTCCCCCTCCTCCTCCTCCTCCTCCTCCTCCTCCTCCTCCTCCTCCTCATCCGCCTCCGCCGCCGCGGTCGAACAAACTCTACTCCGCGTCCGCCCCAGGTTGTATCCCACCCAGTGGGATAACAACGAGTGCGCAGGGCATCTGCACTTGTTGAGGCTTCGCGTATCCCCACCAGCGTCCGTACCCCCTCTGGCTCGAGCCGCTCTGGCCCAAGGTGCGTGCCGTCAGGAGGCCTCCGCCCGTGCCCTCCCCTCTCTTGTCTCGCCTTTCCCCTTCCCACATGTCCGCGATGAGCGCGCGGTTTTCTGGCTGGGCCTGGTCAGAGTGGCAGGACCCACGTGGCTGGCACAGTCAAGGTTGGCACAGTCAGCATGGTCCCCCACATGACACTCAGCGAAGTTGGCACAGCCAACAGCCAGGATTGCCATAGTCAGCATGGCCGCGAATGTGACTACGCCATCACAGTCTGGGCAGCCCGCCGCGCGAGACAGCGCGCGGCTCGTCAGCGAGCAGAACAAGATACTTTTCCGTCTGGACCAAGATGTGACGATTCGGCGGCCCCGCCCGCAAACGACCCTACCACAGATTGCGAGCCAGAGGTCGTCGCTTTTCTGTGTCAGCATGGTCTTGGGGTGTATGACTTTCGCTGAGCATGGCTTTAAGCGCATGGCTGAGGTACGGTTCATGAGTGATCGACACATTCGCGACATCGGCTGACGACCTGGTCATTGCATACGTATTGCTACAGCACTGGGCCAGCAGGCTGCAACTGAACAGGGAACCTGTGTCGACACTCTTCTGGAACCGCCTGGCTTGCGCGGCTGTCCAACAAAGCTGCCCGGCGGCATGACCACGACGCAGACCCAGCGCACCGACGGGTGGGCTGGCGCCCCGCCTACGCAGGGCGTTTCCCCTGGGACTGACTTTTCTCCTCCCTCCCTGCCCATGATTCCTCGAGATGCGGCAGTTGGTCGCCTACGCCGGGAAGTTTGCGAAATGGGTCGCGCTCACCGGGAAGAGCGCGAAGGTAATCGCGAATCGCAGGAGGAGGAGCAGGAAGAAGTCAGGGAGGACCTTGCCGACCGTCCAACACAACCCACTGGCACACCCAACCGCCTCGGATTCCAACGGACTCTGCGACGGTCAGTCGCCGCCACCGGGAAGAATGCGATGATAGTCGCGAGTCGCAGGGTGAGGGGCAGGAAGAAGACAGAGAGGATTTTGCCGATCGTCCGACACAACCCGCTGGCAACACGACCCCTGGGAACACCCAGCCGCCTCGGATTCCAACAGACTCTGCGATGGTCGTTCACCTACACCGGGAAAATCGCGAAAGGGGTCGCGAGCCACAGGAAAAGTGGCAGGGAGAAGACAGACAGGACCTTCCCGACCGTCCAACACAACCCACTGGCGACACGACCCCTGGGAACACCCAGCCGCCTCGGATTCCAATAGCCTCTGCGACGGTCAGTCGCTTCCACCGGGAAGAGCGTGAAGATAATCGCGAGTCGCAGGGTGAGTGGCAGGGAGCAGAACCTTGCTGACCGTCCAACACAACCCACTGGCAACACGACCCCTGGGGACACCCAGTCGCCTCGGATTCCAGGGGATTCTGCGATGGTTAGCCACCTACACCGGGAAGAATGCGAAATGGGTCGCGAGCCGCAGGAGAAAGGGCAGGGAGAAGACGGAGAGGACCTTGCCGACCGCCCATCACGACCCACTGGCAACGCGACCCCTGGGAACACCCAGCCGCCTCGGATTCCAACAGACCCTGCGTCAGTCGCCTCCACTGGGAAGAGTGCGAAGATAGTCGCGAGTCGCATGAGGAAGGGGGGCCCACCACTGGGGAGGAGACCATCGAGGAGACCATCGAGGGAGCGGCGGAGGAGCCCCTGGAGGAGAAGTGCGAGGACGAGGAGAGCGAGAGTATCCCGGAGGACGACCTGGGCATTACGGTGGAAAAAAACAACGGGACCTTGGAAGACGAGGCCGCAGTCTGGCGAATGGTGGACAGAGGGCGATTCGCTGCTCTCCGCCCCTCATCCCCGCGTCCACCAGGGGCCCCCGTGCCCGAGCACGCGACCAGCCTGCTGCAGGCCCCGCCCGCTGCAAACGCGGACACGCCGCCTCGGCGGGCGGGCTTTGCCCGCGAGATCACCCTTGCACTGGCGTCGCCTTCGACGGACCGTGCGGAGCCACAGAGCGACGGGGGCCCCCAGCCGTCACCCGCTGCCGACTCCTCCAGCCGATGGCGACCCAGTGTCCGAACTGCGCTGGCCCAGCCGAAGACCACGTCGACCCCGACGATCACCGCTGCAACCGCTACGACCGCCAGCGCTGGCTCGTCCCCGCGCGTGCCGCCTGCCCGTGGAGACGGGGCGGGCCTGGACGCATCGCCCACTATGCCCTCGCCCCCCAATGCGAACGGGCCCCGTACGAGCGCAGAGCTGGACGCGGGCCAAGCAGCGGAGCAGCCGCCTGACGAGTCTGCCTCGGGGGCCGGGGCGCTTGTGGACGACCCGCCGGCCCTCGCGGAGCGGGTCAAGGCGTGGCAAGGGACGGGGTGGGCGCACCAGTGGCATGACTTCTGCCGCGCCAACTTGGCGATGGGGGGCCCTGGCACCCACGATCCCGCGCGCCACGAGCCTGACGTCCTCCGCCGGTTCCTAGCGC